CGCAGGAGGGAAAGCCATCGGATCTAACACTACTGAAAAGAAGCCATGCAAATAACTCCAGCTTATCAGCCTCCAGCTGACCAGGAGTTCTGCTTCACCGTAGCTCTGCTTGCTCACCTGAATTTCAGTTTCCAGCCTATGTTACCTTGCACAAAATGTTGTAGCACAAATCTCCTTTGGGATGAACACCCCTACAGAGGGCCTTCACCAAAAACTAAACAAAAAATGAAACAAACTACTTTCTTTGCATTCAGTTGTTGCTGAAACAGGAGGTTGTGAACAATCCATCACATTTTGCCCACCCGTCCAAACCAGTATCTGTGCCTCCTCACGAAGTAACTCAAAATTTGCTTCAACTACCAGTTTTACATTTTGTTTTCTTGAAAGTCCCCAGTGAGATTCAGTTGCAAGAAAACAGATATAGTGACTCAAAAATGACAAACAATTAAAGTTGCCAATTATGTGCATGTATGTAGGACTTTCTCATGAAAGGAATTTGCAAGTCTAGGCAAGGAGATCTTTAGGAAGATCAATCTGTTGGTTCCATACAGTCATTTTCTGCTTCACTCTGTAAGGCTACAGTGCTGCTCTTCCCAAGGAACTTAGAAATCACCAGCCCAAAGAGGTCTCAGAATTTCTTCCTCTTTCCCATGAGTTCTTGCAAACCAGAAAAATATATCTATAATTTAATTAAGTAGTGAGGGTGCCCTAGAGATGCAGAAAAAGCAAGAACTAAAACCTAGAGAAAGTCCTCCCAAAATATCTATCCAGCCGTGTTGTACCGATACACATCTTTTTCCATATAAAACCAAATATTATGTATTCCAGATTGTTATATTTGCCCTAAATTATGGAAGTTGCAGAGAGAAAAAAAGCATCAAGCAAATTACACACAGAAAGAGAAACCTTTCCTGACATCCAAACGTTTTCAATGCTCAACATTTGGTATCATCTGCAAGTTCGTAAAGCAGCTCCCGCAAATCCCACCAGATGTTCAACAGAAGCAGGCGGCGAGAGCGCACCAGGGTCCCACAGGGGACATCCCTTCCCACCCAGCTGGCAAAGGCCACCATCCTCACAGCCCTGGAAAGGATAAGTGGGATGACACAGGCTCAGCTCTGCCACCCAAACATGCCCTCCTGGAGGAAAAAGGGAGAAAAAAACCCACAGATTTAGGGGTAAAAAGTCAGCTCGGCATCTGAAGGGTGGCTTTGTGGATTCCCCTCCTCATCCTCTCTTCAAAGGAGTATTTCTGACCTTGGTGGTAGGGGAACAGCTAGAAGAGGCCCCCGCTGTAATTAGCGCTCTCCCTGCATCTCCGCCTGTTGCCCCCCACCCCTAGGAAGAGCAGAAAGCCTTGAGGGATATTAAAGCTCCTTGGGAGAACATTAAGTCCAACAAAGATTTATCCTCTGAAATGTGCTGGCTCAGATAGGAGAGCAGTACGCAGATCTGCCTCCATCCCGCACGCAGGGCGTCGCGCCGTGCCAAATTACGACAGGAGAAGGTGATTAGCGCAGGGAAAACAAACCCTCCCTAATGACGCGCGCCTCGTTCCCCACCGCCCCAGCTGCTCCTTGCTACAAGGGCAGGCGGCAAGCGCTGTGCCCGCCAAGGAGATTAATGCCCTCCCTTTCAAAAAGAAAAGCATCTCAATGCATGGAGCTATCGGAACTGAGTCACAACTTAATCAAAAGTTTTTCAAAAAAAAAAAAAAAATTAATTGTAACTAAAACAACTGCTGCCTCACTCTTTGCTAACAGTGATATTGCAAATCGCTAAGCTGACGTAAATAAAACTTAGCTGAAAATACACACTGCCTGGAAATTGTCTCAGAGCATCACGCTTCCAGTTAGCAGAAAAATCTCCAGCTATTTTACAGTCAGATGTCCTCTGACCACAGGAGGACTCTAATAAATAACATTTGTTTTGCTGTGAGTAGAGCATGCCGGTTGTCGTTTATTTTTTTCCACTGGGTGTTGGGAGACGGGAAGCAGAGAGCGAGGAAAACGCTGATACTTTAACTAATGCAACTGCGGAGCAAAAAAAGGTCGGGCTCTCCAGCAACTCCTCCTGGCATTGGGAGCCACGTACCCACCTCAGCATCCCTTGCTATAGGAAGCCCCCTAAAAAATAAAGCGTTAGCCTCTGCATGCTATGCTGATGTTTTTCCACATTAAAACGGGTTTTGGGAATGGGGAGGCAGGCACCATCATTGAGAGGTTGCTAAAGGCACCTTGTCAAGAGCCGCCTTTTTCAATCCCTTTCACGTGCTTTGTATCACAGCTGCCCAAAATTCAAGAACACAATTAATTTCAATCAAAGGCTTTAACTTAATTAAGAGCAGGAATTTACTTTAAGGCATTGCTCTTGCAAGGTGCTGAATTTGTGAAAAGCCCAAGGAACCTCAGTGCAGGCTTGACTGGGACATGAACACAGTCAGCGAGAACAGATGATGTCCCTTACTGAACTTTAACCCATGGAGCTGCATACAAAAAAACTGCAATGGAGGCACATGGCTGGGTCTTTGCAGATCAAAACAGTTCTAATTTTTGTTCAGGAGTGGTGTCACCAGCAGACGTCTTTATTTTTTTTACTTTTTCTTCATGGGAAGCCCCAGCATTTAAAGGATTTGCACTGTAGGAACTTTGGAAATGACACCATGCTGGATTTGCAGAGCCCCTTCAGCACAGCATTGCTGCATTTCTCCTCCTCCATGCCACGGAGCCCCAAGAGAAGTACAG